AAGCTAACTTTTTTTCTTGTTTGTAATAATGTTGGCTCGATTTTAGCTTTTTCTATTATGAGAAGAATCAATATTTTTCGAAATGAATTCATTTAATTTTTCTCATGGTTTTTGTTCTGTTATATATTTATAGCGTTCCCCTTTCACATGTGCATCGTTCCCTAGCGAACAGTAGCGAAACAGGAAAGGCTCTAAAATATCGTAAACTAAAAAAAATTATTGTAACGGACCAAGTGTACACTAAAGTAAATAGATAACACACAAACTGTAAACATGTCCAGCTTACCACGTCGTATCATTAAGGAAACTCAGCGCTTGATGCAGGAGCCTGTGCCCGGAATTAATGCCATTCCTGATGAGAACAATGCGCGCTACTTTCATGTTATCGTAACGGGTCCAAATGATTCACCTTTCGAAGGTGGCGTTTTTAAATTGGAATTATTCTTGCCCGAAGATTATCCAATGTCAGCGCCAAAAGTACGATTCATTACCAAAATCTATCATCCGAATATTGATCGCTTGGGACGCATTTGCTTGGATGTACTCAAGGATAAGTGGAGTCCAGCATTGCAAATTCGTACAATTTTGCTTTCAATTCAGGCGCTTTTAAGTGCACCCAATCCCGATGATCCACTAGCAAATGATGTCGCAGAATTGTGGAAGGTGAACGAGGCTGAGGCCATCAAGAATGCACGTGAATGGACTCAGAAATATGCCGTCGAAGACTGAAGTGCAAAGTGAAGTGTTTGCAGCAGAAAACGTACGACGATGAAAGCGGGCGGTGGAGCTGCATGGAGTGTGGCGGGGGAATTGGGCATACCATGGGAACAACACGTGAATACAACGGCTTTTAATTGGTAAACAAGTGATGGGGTGGGGGGCATGGAGTAGTTGTAATGTGCGTGAATCAAGAAATGGAATTATGTAATAACAATTAAGTAGAGTAATAATATTGCGTAAAATAATTGCTAACTGGCTAAAGAAGAACAACTTATCTCCGGTATGCTGTTAATATTTTTAAAACACTATACACGTTAATATATTGAGATGCTGACGTCTTGAATGTTTTTAAAAATAAAACTCTACCAAGCAAAACAAAAACACTACAACAAACAAATGAGTATAATAAATGAAATACAAAACAGTAATAAAGTTATTGATAATGCAAAAAAATAATTATAATGAAATAAAAAGAATTTCTATTAGTACATGCAATAAAATATAAATATATATATGTATACTCTTACTACACACTTTAATACAAGCTAAATGATATGATAATAGTTTAAATAGAGTATAAAAACTAAATGCTAAATCACTTGTAAGAAGATGCAACAACAACAACAATAACTATGCAATTTTTGATTCCAACTTTTATACGGTCTACATTTGGCTGCTAAGATGAGCGGTTGAGTAAAGAGCGCAACACAACTTTTCAACAAAATGCCGGTTGCCGCTTGCTACTGACTTTCGTCCACGTATATACATATATAATATATGTGGATAAAAGTGTTGCACGTCGTTGTGCGCGCTCGTTAGCTAGGGCGCTGTGTGCTATTTATTCACATTTTCTTTTAGTTGCGCTAACAATATTACGTTTAGCCGTCTATTCATATAGCAATTGTATTCTTTTTTTGCATTTTAAATTCTAAGCCACTCTTATACATACTATGTATCTACATGTAAGCACGCCGCATGTTGACGTTGTAGATATTCTGCTTTAAGGAAGTTGCTATTAATATTTAATGAACAATGAAATTCGATTAATCATTAGAGTTTGCACTTCAAAAAAAAACACACACACACTGATGTTACTTTTAATTTTGTATGCTTATATGTTTCCTTATAATTATTAGCATTATTTAAAAAAATTCATAATAGGTATTTTTAAATTTTAGTAGCATTTCATATACGCTGCATAAAAGTCAAGGTGAAAGCAAACGTCAATGTGAAAAACCTTTGACAGCAGCGCTGCATGGCTTGCTACATTTTCTATTTGTTTGTGTGTAAAGCAAAAATACCTTTATAAAGTAAAATATATGAAACATTAAGAATCTGCATAATTTTTTTTTATTTCTTAAAGAATTAGTTGAAATAAACGCGAAACCTGAATTGTAAGATAAAAAATATGTGACTTTTAATTACCAAGAATAAAAATTTGGAATACCCTATACGGATAAGTATTATATTATACACTAAATTTGCTATTACTTTGTTGGTGGCATGTTCCAAGGGTCATCGAAAAATTGTGCCGCACTTTAAATACCCTCAAACACACACCAAAAGATGTATGGTAAATATTTTACTATTTTCTTTGTAGTTTGTGAAAGCAGGCAGATGCTTAAATAATATTAACGAAATCATGCTTCATTTCTCGGCATTTATGGCATTTGGCTGCTGCATAAAACGCCGCCAGACACCAAAGTTGCACAAATATTATTTATAACAGCATTTAGCTAAGTACTTTAAGCCTGCATTGTCTTTCGAATTTTCAATACATGCTACTTCCTCAAACCATTTCTACTCCAGCTGTTCATATGTAACACATTTTTTCACGAAAAGTGTGGGGCCACATTCATACCAAACTCTTCCCGAACTTGTCGTCCAACTGGCCAACGAATATTGAAAAAAGCGCCGCTGGCGGCCAAATGTGCCGAAAGTGATTTATATATCCACGATAATCGCTACTATTTTGCCATTGTACATTTTGATCGCTTATTGTTGTTGCCGTTGGTTGCTATTGTTGCTGCCTTTGGTGTAGTGGCTCGTACGTGTGTGTGGAGATTTTTTCTCTCTGCAGCAACAGGCGCAAGCGGTGATGGACCAACTTCGTCGTAAGCTTACCAATAACTGTGTTGTTGGCAGCCATGCATGTAAGTATGTACACACATAAGAATGGATTCTTCGTGGGCGCAACGCCACGCATTTCGTTATTGTTAATTGGCCCTTTTTGGTTGTGAGTCGCTTAACTGCGAAAGTTCCATTGTTGGGGATACGTGCTGCCTTTGCAACTGGTCCTTTTGATGTTGTTTTTGTTGTGATAGTGGTGTTGCTTTGGGTGGCAAAGAATTATTACAGCTTGTCACCTTATTTCGGGCGATTTACGGTAAAATTTATCGCTGATGATCAACAATAAAAAATGTGTCGTTGCCAGCGGTACACACAGAGGTGCATACACACACGTAAATACATATGTATATGCTACTTGCATTGGACGGTGGCGCATGGAGTAACGCCGTGAAGTTGGATAATTGCACTCATAGGTGTCAAATTAAGTCCAATGCGGCACGGGCAACAGGATTTTCACTTTGATTTATGGATAGCAAGGCAAATGGAAAGAAAAACATATTTTTCTTGTGTGACAAATAAGGGCATAAGGAAGGGGTTGTAAGTACTAAATATCGGTATGAAAAATATTGTGGAAAATTATTAACAATAAGGATGAAATGCTTAAGAAAAATTAAATGATTTATCTGCACACATACATACATACACATGTTTGTTGGAGGAAGTAATGTTCGTAATTTCTTAAATTTTTTAAGGTATTCAGATATTTTAGTGTGAATTTCAGTAATGTCTAATCAGTATGCGAATAAAATAAATGTGTGAAGTATTAATTCAAAAATAAGATAGCGCGATTTAAAAAACGTTAACTTCGTTTGCACCATAGCTATAATACCCTTCACAAATATAAAAGATTCCACGCAAGAATTTGTTTTTGACCGCTCAGTTTGTATGGCAGCTATATCCTTTAGTTCTGCGATATCGACGTCCCGACGTAGGAGCAGCTTCTTGGGGAGAAAAGAACATGTGCAAAATTTCAGATCAATATCTCAAAAACTGCCAGACTACTTCGCGTATATATAGACAGACGGACATGCTGATCATTTAAATATTCTTTTATTGATAAAACCTGGAATGTACAATATAAAGAATGGAATGTAAAATATAAATATAGTATAATGAAAAATTAAATTAATATTTAAAATTAAATTAAACGCAAGAAATAAAAAAAATCTTAATGAGAACTAAATTAGAATAAAATAAATTAAAATTAATAAAAAAGATTATAATAATTTATTTTATCATTTAGATTTTTTTTATGTTTGTGTTTGTGTTATTGCAATAAAGATTTCAAACTGTGTACTAAGAGTTTCTTGTGTTTGTTGGTTTCAGTGACAACATACAATTTTTTTTTTTTGATTTTTTACTGAATGAGCACTTATATACAGATTGTATGGTTATGTGCATTATTCATAACTAGATAAGATAAGAGCATAAATCATCAAGAGCTTGCCAAGTGTAATAGAATTCAGTTTTTAACGAAAAATTTTATAGTTTTCACTGAAAAAATGCAGAAGGAAAACATACCATTCCATGATTATTATATGTAACGATTGTTTTACAACAACAAAAATGTTTTACAACAACAACCACAGTATAATAGTGAGCCCAGTTTTCTTCAAAAAATTTTAGTTAAATGGCAATCGGTGAAAAAAGTAAATTACTGTGTTACGAGTATGTTACAAAATTGGTGTCAGTTCGTCATACTTGTACTATCACGTGTGCGTTGTTAGTGAAAGGTGTTTTTATTTTTGTATTGAAAACTGCAATTTTTTGTGTGTATATCATAACAACCGCACTGATAAGCCTATAGATTAGTTAGTTTTTGCGGGAATATATTTTAAACTGATATTTTATGATTAAAGGATTTATTAGTTTTAAATTCGAATCGTTATGCAGCAAGTATCTGGAAGCGAACAGCTACAGTATTAGTATTATTGGAATGAAATATAGAGGGTTCAAGCTCAGAATTGTATCAAATACGATATGCGTCAGCTTTCAATCTGATTGGACCATATATTTTTCTCAGTATTTTTACTTCGAAAATTGCTATATGGTTCACGTCAATCGCCTTCATTGGCCAAACTTCACAACCGTATGTCGGATTGGACACAGGAGTGAGTGCCTGATAGTAATTTGGTTTCTCTACAAGAGGTTAGGTTAGACGTCCCTTTATGGTACCGTTTTAAATAAATAAAAACTAAGACGAGAATGCCGATCGAATCGCATCATTTCTAACATCATATACACATTAGTCGCACATCGCGTGAGAGACAGTAAGCGGCAAAGTAGTGCGCTTATTGTTGGTATGCATGAGAGAAATAGGCGTAACACCTTGCATATGCAATGAAAAATGAAATAATATAAATACTAAATTAAATTAACGCAAATTGCTTGTACTACAAGGTATTAGGTGCATGCTAATCATTTTATTGATAAATGTACAGGTAAAAGTATATATTTTTTTTCAAGTGAAGTGTCTGTACAAGTCTATACATTCATTTTTAAAGGAGGATCAATATTAGATATGTGCACTTTTCAAATAACGCAAGTATTGGTTTTTTTTACCTGATTATTTTGACCCTAGTTCTTCGAAGTATCTCTATGATTTCAATATGTATCTTTCACAATGGCAGCTGCATTCGAGATTTGAGCTTCTTGTTGGGCTTAAGAAGTCCTTGTGAATGAATGATCATGAGATGGTTCATTTATGTATAGGTTTTTTTCGACTCTAGTTCCATTCTCGCTGTAATCATTTTAAAGACGACTCTTCCAAAAATCCGGCGATTGTTAAAACGAGCCAAGCTAAGTCGCAGTGACGCTCTTCAGCGTTAATGTAAGCTTCTGGCTCAACGTTTCGGAGTCTCGTAATAAATTTTTGAAAATGCTAGCTATTAATAACGTGACGGGTATATAGAAGTCGATTACTGGAATTAAGATGCTTAGATAAAGTTATGATAAGTTTTTTGTTGATGTTATAGACACCAAGTCAGACGTAAGAGTCCACAAATTGAGTGGGCTTTCTATTTTCCGGTCACAAGTACATCTAGAGCGATACAGGCTCCGTTCAGAACTCGATGTAGTTTACGAGTCGAATGTGCGAACCAGCTTTTGGAACTTATGTAAAGCGAGGAAATACCAAAATTGGAAGAACACTGAAACTGACAATTTTTTCTCTCTAGCTACTCTCCGTAAAAACTTATATGAAGGAGGTGTAGATCACGGCTTAGTTATGTAAGTATATAACGGGTTTTCCGTTCCTACGACAGTCGGGCTTACGTAACCGGCCAAGGCCTGTCAACTCGGCAGAATTCGGCCGCTACAACAACATAACAGGTTTTTTTTTGAGTTCATGAGCACACGAATATATAAACTTGTAACCAGACAGTGGATTCAACAAGCTTTTAAAGTTACTCTTTCGACTTTTACATGCCAAGAGCACTAATTCAATAAAAACTGAAATGCATCGTGGGTCTGTGAGTAGAGAAACTGTGTTGTAGTTTTTTTCTGATTGGGAATTGGAACAAAACTTCTGGGATTGCTTTTCAGTGGATGGAATTCATAAAAATATTTTTTGAGAAGTTCAAAAGGAGAATGGTTAATTTGAGGGCAGTATCTTTACTTCCTATATGCTCAAGAAAAAGTATGTACCCTCCAAAACTCATTTTTACATACGCTCCTGTCTACTTGTCCGTATGTCTGTATGTATGTGTGATTGTTTGCATCAATGCATTTGCAGCAACGCATTGGAAAACGCTTGCGCCTTAATACAATCGACATGAAAAAATGCATCATAATCACGGCTTAAATTGCATATCATAAACAGCAAATACAATGTACACATACACACACACATACATACATACATACATACAAGTACATGCAAATGTATTTTGCGCGCTTGCCTGCCTGCCTACAACGACTAATTAGCATATTATGCAGTAATTAGTTGTAGGTAATTAATTTGAGTTGTATTGTACTTTGCGTATTTGTTGTTGTTGTTGCTATCGGCTTTGCCACTGGCGGCGGCGGCCATGACAGTGGCAGTGGCAATCACGCTTGTGGCCACAACTAGCAATTGTCTATGGCAAATATTGCTATTGTTGTTGTTGTTGTTGTCAATATTGCTGTTGTTGTTGTTGTTGCGCAATTATGCATTGGTTTGAAATTAAAATGCAGCTACATCTACATATGCATGTCTAGCAGTAAATCTGCTCTGTTCGACAGCTTTGATTGCTAGCAACAAAAGCACAAAAATTGCAGCAACAACAACAACAACTACATGACCAACAGCTACAACAATTGACGCAAAATGCAACATGAAAAGCAGTTACAGCAAACATACATCAAAGCAGTTCAATATTGCCTATTTTAGCTGCGGCAACAATAATGCCAACAACAACAACAACAAACACAACTGTATGCTGCTTCTTTCTTTATTATTAATTGCATTTTATTTGTAGCTGCAGCTTTTGATGCAACACGGCTGTTGCATGTTGCCAAGCGTGTGCAGATTGCTTGCTATCATGCTTGTGTGTATGAGTGTTAGTGTATGTATGTGTGTGTGTGTGTGTGCGAATTGCCAGACAGTTACATTTTGTTAATTTGCAATTGTTACGGTCTCAGCTTGGCAGCAGCGGAGGCAGCAACATGCAAACGCAATGGAAATGTTGCTGTGCTGCTACTTTTATACATATGTGTGTGTATATAAACATACGTATGTATATTTATATATGTATATAAATTTATATATGTATATCTGCTTGTATATAATGTATGTTTGTCTTGCAATTTTGGCGCGTTCTTCGCTTGAGTCTTTTGTTTCATTTGCTGTCTGCTGCTAATTGCAATATAAATGCGGCATCGGCCATACACAACTGGACACATACATACATACACATAAATATATATTATCACATTGTAGGTATGTATATGCATGTGCATTGCGAATCGGTTTGCGTTTGCTCATTACATTGTCTTCATTCTGTTTTTTTTTTGTTGCTTGCAACCAAAAATTGTGAAGTCCAATGTGTGAATGTATGATGAGGCCTTCCTCAATTCCTAAACAGTATAATAAGCTGAAATTGGTTACAGCGCACTAAAGAATGCGTCAAAATTTATTTTTCACTTAAGTCTTAGATTGTTGTCTCGGAAAGTTGAACAAACAAAACAGAAAAAAATTTAAAAAATTTAATCCATAAATTTCCTCGTACAAAGAGATATATATACAGACATATTTGTAAACAAGTGAGTAGATCAGTCGAAACTTATTGCTCTCAGAACCACTTTTTGGAAAATAAAACTTTCAGTTCTATCCTTCTGAAATCCACTTCAGCCATTGCAGGCTCATCGAGACTGACAAACCTCGTTTTAGTAGCTAAGATATCGACTTTCATCTTTTCTCGGGCAAAGTGGTCCAAGAACTCACGTAACTAAACAAAGGTTAACGACTTTCTAATTACCAGTTAGGATTACATTTGTTCAGCTGTTTATTAGACGACTTTCTCAAGAAAGTCGAGGGCGCGGGAGAGCAGCCAACACATGAAAGCGTAAAGTCCGAGCATAAGCGCAAAAAGTTTTTCTAACAATAAATAAATCTGATTATAATTTGTGTGTTAGGGCCCTATCTTCCATCTTGGCACTATATACATACATACATACATAAAAATAGGCGCACTGCTAACATTCTAGGATACTGAGGGCTACTTTGTTGTAACTTATAATATTATTTTGTGTTCTTTGAAGGACATTCTACGTCTAGCGCTTAGCCCCGGGTCGGTGTACTCTATTTAGTTGCTTCAACTAGTCATGTCGCTCACTAAAACTAGAAATTCTGGCATTAGTAAAAGTAAAACTTTCAGATTTGAGTAAATGTGCATTTGATAAAATTTTTTCCGGACTGACAAATAAAACAAGCAATATTTTCAAGTATTTTATTATGAATCTTTATTATCGCCTTCAAAAGGGCGCTATATGAGCCAATACAAGCACGCAAACGCTTAATCTAACTTTCCATACTTGTTATATCGTAGGACTCGGCTGGGATGGACTTCAGTGCCTTTAGCGAGTTTTGGTTTGATTGGGTTTCGACTGATTTTTGCAGCGTGAATCGCTGGATTGCTGGAAAATTCATAAACCTACGCCTTGCCACCAGTAATAATGCGTTTGCTGAATGTAGGGTTCTCAGCTACGTTGTCAACCAACTTCTACTCGACGTCGTTTTGACAAAAGATTCAGGTCATCAGGTCGTTTGGTATGAGTCTGGCATTTAAATGTTTCATAACCAAAACGTTAACCAAAATGGTTGAGTCGATCCATAAGTGGTGTTGAGTTCTTCTGATATCTCTTTGATATCAACAAGATGGTCTTCAAGCACTGCTTTTACAAGGTGTGTTCCAAAGTAAACAGTAAAAAAGTAACAAAGTAAACTCTATTGGCGCCATCTATATGTCGACTAGTGCGTTATAATCTGCTATCCTTTATCGAATTCCAGTAAAGATTCATAACATTTCATCTATTGAAAGTGAAGTCATCGCGCTATATGTGACATTACATTTGTAGTGTCGGTCGGAAAATGAGCATAGAACAAACAGCCAACATTAAGTTTTGTTTTAAACTTGGTAAAACTTTTACTCGAAACCCCAAAAGCGCGCCTAGAGAAGTCAAAAGTGAAGACAATGCTGATATGTTTTGTATTGTCCACAAAGAATTTGTTCCACCCGGCCAAAACGTTAATGCGGTATTCTACCTGGGAGTTTTGAAGCGTTTGGTGCGCCGTACTCGACGTGTTCGGCCCGAATATCGCAAAGATGGAAGTTGGCGTTTGTTGCACGATTATGCGCCGTCTCATCGATCGACGCTTGTGGCCGATTATTTGACCAAAAATCACATTTTAACAATCAACCACTCCCCGTATTCACCTGATATGGCACCGTGCGACTTCTACCTTTTCGGAAAAATTCATTTGCCGATGAAAGGAAAGCGTTATGCAGACGTCAAAAAGCTTGCCTTAGTCATAAATAAACAGCTATAAAACTCAAATGTAAAAAAAAGATTATACCAATCTAGGACAGTACTCTCTTGTTTTGCACGCCCAGTTTGAGTAGACCAGTCCGTGTCAAATTTGATCAGATGGCAATAAATCCATCCGACAAATACCGATGTAGTATGTGCTGCCGTATCTTGCTTCCGAAAACCGAAACTTCTGCTACCGACCATAGTGAGTCAATCGTTAAGCAGTCAGAAAAAACCACGTTGACCAAAAATTTGGGGAAAAATACACCTTCCTTGGCCAAGATGATTCATTCCATTTGCTGCCACCATGAAAGGTTTGGTTAATAACCTGAAATGTGTCGTTCGATGTATCAATATATCAAAAATATTGATAACAGAAATAACAAGTAAGAACGGGATAAGTTCGGGTGTAACCGAACATTTAATGCTCACAAAATTTACAAGTATTAAAGCCGCGGAAATACATTCAGGTGTTGGAAAACCTTATATAATATTATATTAAACTATGAGGAGTGTTCCTCCGGTTTCATCCATTTTAGGCAAGAATATAGACCGTTATTAAAAGAGATTGCTTCTGTATTTCATTAATATAAAAGGTCAAAGTTTTTCACCAAATGGAAGTTCAAAGCTATAAACAATAAGTATATGAGGGCTAAGGAAATTATTGACCCGATTTTACCCATTTTTGGCACAAGGACTGTTATCATCATAAAAATATTCTCCCTAAAATTTAATACTAGATCTCACAGATTGATTATTCATTGGTGTTTGATTTGTATACTGTAAACTGAAAAAATCAGATGGAGTTTACTAGTTTGTTATATAAGAAGTAGGCGTGTCTGTCAACCGATTTCTCATACACCATATTTAGTTGAAATCGGTCAAGTACACACACGGACAGACAGTTGCCCGGATTTCCACTCGTTAGGTGAACAAAAGTATTATACTCTTTAGCAACATGTTGCGAGAGTATAGAAACGTGTTTATTTTTTTATTGCAAATATTTTTCATTCGACCAAATTTTAACGATAACACATGTATAAGTCCATCACCAGAAATATAATGAAAGTGAAATGTAAAAACAAAAAAAAAATTAAAAATTGTTATCTTCTCTACATATCTCACCTACGCTAGATAGTGATTAAGAGCGTTTGCGATAACGGAACAGCATGACACATTTCTATACGCATTGACATATGGTACTAAAAGGTAGAATAAGAATGAAAAATAGTGGCATCGCAGCCGGTAGGATTCGAACCTACGCTCCCAGAGGGAATCTGATTTCGAGTCAGACGCCTTAACCACTCGGCCACGACTGCTGCGCGCCATTCACTGCCAATTTACACACACCACCACCACTCGCTTATCTATCGCATAACAACGAAACATTGCAAATAGATAAAAGGAGCTCTTATCTTAAGCATGTTGATAAGTGCAAAAATTTGTCAACAACATTAAAAGTTGCTTAATTAAAAAGACGAATGTGTCGACGTTATTTACGAAATATTTCATAGATAAAGACCCAAATGTGGGACAAGAGCAGGTAGCTTAAAATCAATGTGGAATTTAAAAAGAATTTAATAGGAAAATTTCAGTGCTGTGTTAAAGTGCAACGCGTAAGGTTAATAAAACAATTTTTACAGTTTACCGTTATAGGAAGTGCTACGTATGAATATGTGAGAGTTATTGGCATGTGCAAAAGAAATAAATGTACCTGAAGAGATTAGTGAATAAAATTTAAATACAAAATAAAAAAAATATTTACAATATTAAAAAGTTACTGTTGCAAATTCTCGTAGAATTACTTTATAAATTTTACATTTACAACAACCACATAGAAAGTGAGTATATAGATAATAATATAGAAAAACAATTATTTGATTTATAAACTTCATACTATAGGGTCACTCAAACGCGGCGATTAAGCTATTAAGTTTTAGTTTTTAATATTTGTTATACTTTGGGAACTTTATGTCACGCAGAGTAAAAGAACTTTGTTTACCTAACGGTGGTTTGTAATACACTAAAGTAATACCCACGATAATTTCTTAAATTAAAGCTGTTCAATGATAAATTTGGTGATAGAGATCATATAGAAAGCCTTTCGTGCAAAAATTGGCCTATTTAACTGCTGATAGGTGGCAACTCTCATACAAAAATATGTGTTATAAGGAGTTCATTTCATTTCTAGCTGTCGAACTGGTTTGTCAGAATAGAGATATCATAATAAAATTTGATAAAAAGCATGACTCGGTACCTATAATGGCCGAAAGTTGTCCATATATTACCCGAAACTATTTTTCCTGCAAATATTGATTTCCCTCAACTCGATTGATCGTAAAATAAATGGATGCTTCGGCAGCAAAATTTTGTATAATAACTCTTTGTCAATATATTTTACCTCGGAGTTAAATTCGGCATGAGTTTAGCCCTTGCCCAATCAAATTATTAATCTTCAAAGTAAATGCTAACTTTATTTATTTCAAATTTATGGTTGAGCGCATAATGGAGTCATGCTCACGTATACATTACCTCTTTATAGGTAAAGTGTTGCCTAATTGTAGATAAAATTCGTTATCTTCTAATAATAAATTTGGCTACTGACACTGAATACGACACCGCGAACATGTTTTCACCAAATGAAGCCAAGTGCTTCTATACGCGTACTTGGTAATCTACTCAACTTTATGTTTGAAACTGGATTGCCAAAAAATCATACATGATATTTAGACAATTTTATGTTCTTTACCTAATTCATAAACTTGCATACAGAAAAAATATATTTCTCCCAAACTCCGCTCTTGCAACGCCCTTGAATGCACCACTGCCGAAGCGAGGTAGTCAACTTCTTGTCAATAGATTTTAGCTTGAGAGCTTTGAAACCAACTTATTTCCTTAATTTTTGTAATACCAGTTATGACTAAACACAAGCTTTATGAATTTTTGAAATTCTGACAAATTGTTAGTGATTTAAAAAGTGCAGATATCTCGTAAACCAACATGCATGGCATGGGCATATTTCTAGTTATATAGACGAAACCCTTAACATCGGTTGGGACCTTTACCTATATTACCAGCGAAATCGTATTTTTCCTGAGAAAAAAGTTCTTTCGAACTACGCGAAAAATCTACTGATAAGAAACTCTCCATTAGTGCCTAACGGATCGAATAAAGAAAACGAACCCTCCTAAAATAGTTCTACCCAATCGAAAGCATTACCAAATCGATTCAGTAAGTAAGATCAAGTCTTTTCCTAACTATGCATACAAGTTTGTTCCATCTTCTAATCTAATATCTGTACTATTTGGATTCATTTGCTTCGAAAGAAATATTGCATCGCCGCGAAACGACTAGATTTCAGTGCCTGAGATTATGTTGATATCACTTTAAAAGCCTTACATTTAAGGGCTGCGTCTTTTTTGAGAAAACTCAGTAATTATTTTTAGAATATAAAATTTCTCTATATTATTTTATTTCTCTCAAATATAATATTTCCTAAACCATATGGTCATGTATCACACCTCCCCAACGAGAACTTTATAAACAGGAGGAAGTTTTTTGTCAAGAGAGTTATTGATTTCTCATTAGTCTTTACTAACTATGTAGTTACACACTACTTCTTTATTTACAGAGAAGGCAGAATGAAAGAAGTCATCGTTTAGGCCAAATAATCGCACATACTGTTAATCCTAGTTTTATTAATCGGATTATACTATATTTGCATTGGAGAATGCCAGTTCAGCAGTCAGTACAAGCTATTCGTTCTCTACAATAAGATTCAACGTTTTATTTATTGAACTAATTGTAGAATTTCCGAGTACCTGTAGTCCCCTTTTCTACTTATGGTGTGCAACTTATTGCAACTTAACGCACGAACTTTTCGAAAAAATCCACCTTGTAGTTGCTTTCTTTTAAAGCCAACACACATTAAGTTAAGTACCAAATTAATTTATTGCACCATCCCATAATAAGAAATATATATATTGTACATACGAGCTCATACTCGTATATACGAAAGAGATTAAATCAATAGCTACCGACGCAGGAAATGTGAAATAAAACTTGAGTTAGGTCAGTACAAATAAAACATCAAGCAATAGCTTTCCATGCAACACACTAATAATGTATGAAGAATATATATCAGAGCACATTATTATTACTTTATGTACGACCAAATATCTATTTACTGTCTCATACAAACATATATACATACATACTTATACATAAGTACTGATTTTGGGCAGGAAACATTTGTGCGTCAAGCTTTTATTTATAGAAGTGTGTGTAGAAGGCAGCATCTGTCTGACGCGCAACCTTTTTCAAGTACATAAGTGTGTATGCAAACATATATTTACTTTAATATAGGTACATACATATTTATATATATGACATATACACTTTTGGTAGGAATTATTTTACTTGTTTCGCACCCAATAACTCACGCACCTTTACAAGCTGCAGACGTCTAACCATTCGTCGTAATTCGGATCGATAAAATTCGTCTGCGTGAGCTTTTTAAGGAGTATACATGTGTAGATGTGAGTGTATGTGTGTTTTTGTGTATGTAAAATAGACATTAGATGATGTTTGCAACGCGACCTAGGGTCTATTGTGCCCTTTCTGTACATGTATAGAAAAAAATACTTGCAGCTCTTATTTTGTCACCGAAAGCTATTTTTAAATTAATTAATTTAAATTAGTGATTTCATTTAAATACTCAACTGTTTACTTTAGGGAATAAATTTGTATATAGTAAGGGTGGCAACCCAACAAGAGCTTTTGAACTTAAATTAAATTTCTAATCTTTCGGAATGTTTAACGTATTTTGCAAATTATTACGTGTCAAGAAAAAAAATTGTATTCAAATAATTTGGCAACTCTATCAATAAAGTAATAGTTTATAAATCTTGTTGAAATACCATATTAAACATATTGTTTAAGATGTTTTAATCTATTATATTGTATTATTACTTCTATTTTCTATTTTTAATACAAAGGTTGCCACCTTTTTATAACCCGAACAGGATATATAAATATAATATAAATAATCAGTGTGACGAGCTGAGTCGATTTAGTCATGTTCGTCTGTCTGGCAGTCTATTCGCCTGTGTATAGTACGGAAACTAGTCTCTCAGTTTTTGAGATATCGATCTGATATTTAGCGCACGTGCTTTTCTCCTCAAACTGTTCGATCAAAATCAAGTCCATGTACGGAAAAAAATTTTTTTTAATAAAGGTTTCTTCACGAAGTTTGGCACAGATTATTGACCAAGGCAATGCTACAATCCCCGAAAAAATTGTTCAGTTCGAACCACAATAGCTTATTGCTGCCGTTGGCCGGTTAAGTTTTGAGATTTAGATATTTACGTACATATATGTAGCTACTATAAAAAGTGCACTTGTGAAGGATATTACTTTTACCTTTGTTACTAAAGTTAACGGTATTTCTTGTTTAGGTTTTCAAAATGTTCTCTCTAGCTTAAGAGTTTTAAATTTATTCCAATTTAAAAAGATTCGACATGTAATTCATACATATTGCGGTTTTAGAGAAACCTTATTTTAGGTATTTGTTTGGTTATAGATGTATGTACCTACTCTTAATCAGGAAATATATTGAAAACATCAATTTTTTGGAACGGTATTTAATGCTCGGCAATGCTTTTTGCATTTTATCTAAAAATAGGTATACACAAAATTTGTTTTAAGAGTAATGAATTAATTTAAGTCACAAAAAAAATATTTTTTAGGTTAAAAATGAATTGAGTGTTGCCACATAAGTAAAAAAAAAATTTATTTTCTTTAACAAAATATAAAACTAATAAAATCAATTTAAAAATTTTATTAATAAATTTTCGTATAACAAAAATTTTAAAATTTTTTTTAAATTTCTTTAATAAAATTCCCATTGTTGTTCGACAATTATTTTAATTCTCATTTTCAGACATATTTCGATAAGAATTTATGTATAGAAAACATTTTTAATATTTTGAAATAAAATTATTTTCATATTCAATATTTTCAAAAACATAACTATCCTCATATATTTAACCCGAAAACAGAGGACAGCCCCTTCAGACTATTTACATTAGGTGTGCGTCTTCGATACAATTTTAAATACAAATCCTAAGTGTAGGCAACGTTTTATTGTTATTTTGCAATAATATGTGCGCAAGTTAAAATAACTTCGAAATTATGTCTACTATGGCATAGACATAATCCTCAACAAACCGTTATACTAATTTCAATATTATTTTTACGTCCACATATGTTTAGTTTTCCGATAGTTCATTATCCTTTTGGTCGACAGCTGAACGCATTAGGTATTTGTACATGTAAAGTATATACCACCAACAAATACAAAATACAGTTATGTGAAGTGTACAGTTCAATATAGCTATCTATGTATAATATTATATATAAAGTAACGAGTATAGCGTCTACATAAGTTGGCTGTCCGAAAAGCTGAGCCGCCTGGCCGCCTACAACGCTGTGCCTTGCAAGCACATTATCCTTCTGCCTCGCGCAAAGCAACAACACACACATACACGCTATACATTTTGTTTTTGTATGCGTACATGCATGTTGCTTGGCCATGTCAAGAACCTTTCGGCTCGGCTCTTTATCCTATCGTCCTTTCGTGCGTAATGCGTTGGTATATGCGAGTACGTGAGCCTTTAGTTTGTACGCCCGCTGCGGCCAGACACAACAAAATCAGCCAGTCAGCTAACTAGAGACAGCCGTTTGTTGTTGGCCCGTGAGACTCGCTCTCGCTGCCATTCGTCGTTGCCGGCCCTTTCGTTGATCCTTTTTTCTTCGCAATTTTTTTTTTGTTTCAAATCGACCCGCAGTTTATTTGACACAGACACATTTAGTTCTGTGTGCGTTAGAGATATATGTGCTACCCTACGGGAGCACGTTTTGTGGTCTGGGCTTTGTAGTTCAATGAACCCTTTGTTTTTGTGGTATTTTTAGAAGCTTGCAATACAGAAATTTCGGCAATTTGAAGTTAATTGATACAAATATATGTGAATATATTATATAATGTAGAGGGATCGAAGAATGAATGAGTAACGGCGTTCAGGTTTATCGATTTATTTATGTATTATACACTCCTCAATTTTAAGTAAAATATCTTTTTTATTTCAGTAACTAATTCAAATCATAAGCACCTAATTGAGTTTTAGAAATGCTAAATATACTGCGTGGATATTAAATGTGGGAGAACAGTCGCTCTCTGTACGATCAGAGCAGTATCTTAAATTTTACAAATGCTGAAGCAGGGGTACTCCCCGATAAGTCGATTTAATAAGAAAATCCTAATTTTCCCTTATCCCACATATATCTCACAGATCTCACATTTCCTGCACAAATAACCGAAAAAATATTAGTATTTTTTAAACATCGAAAACGTTGAGACCTTGTAGAGCGAGTCCCTATCAAACCAGGCTTAATTTGATAATTTGATTCGCCCTTGACAATAATATTGTCTCTTCCGATGATTGTCTGACATATAGAGCATATTAAGATGTTTCTATTTATATTTGAAGTAACTTGCGAATTCGGGTTTCAGAAATTAATTCTAAGCTAGGTGTAAAACTGCTAAGGGACAGCCCAAAATTTACAAGTAGATTTAAGAATCTTCATTTTGAGAGATATATTAATTTGTATGCCTATATTTCTATAGCTTCAGTACCTTTGAAAATGAATATATTCTTCAGCAAGTTACTTGAAGACGACGCAAATGTTTTTGAATCACCATTTCTAATATGGGAAATGCTCACGATGCTGCGCATTGGCATCAAAGGAGAAAGCGCGCTTGAGTTGGACAATTTTTTAAGATCCAATGCGCCTGAGATTGAAATCACCGCAAATGATTTAGAGTCCTTAAGAACACGCTACATGCTGCCGGCGGATACGAAAACGAATTGCCACACGAATGGTAGAATTTTAACGATTGCCAATCGAATATTCATAAACAACGGCACACGTTTAAAGCAAAACTTTATAGAAGCGCTGCAGCAGCAGTTCGCCTGCGGCATACAGGAAGTCGATTTCAGTGCGCGCGCTCAAGCTGCCGCTACTATAAATACGTGGGTGAGCAATGCCACGCACGAACGCATACGCGACATAATATCCTCGCACGATGTGGGTGCCAATACACAAGCGGTGCTGACGAATGCGATCTACTTTAAGGCGAAGTGGCAGCATCAGTTCGAGACGATCGACACGCAACAAGAATACTTCCACTTAAATTGTGACGAGAATGTGCTCGTGCCAATGATGAGCCAGACAATGAACATACGCTATGCTTACATGCCGAATCACAATGCTGTCGCAATAGAGTTGCCATATCGTGAAACTGATCTGTCAATGTTGGTGATAATGCCAATAGAAGCGTCGTCGTGGACCGATTTGGTATCTATCTCGCAGCTGAAATTGTCGAAAGTGCTGGAACATATGGTGTTTCGGAAAATCTGTGTGAAGCTGCCGAAATTCTCATTCAACTGCACTATAAATGTGCATAGCTTGCTCACGCAGGTTGGCTGTCGCTTGTTGTGATGAAATTTAAGATTTTGTTTATTATTTGTATTTATTTTTTTGTTTCAGTTCGGCGTGCGCGGCATTTTCCAAGCCAGCCAAGACTTCGATAATCTTATTGCGGAGCATGCTTCTAATTTTAGTGTTTCGAAAATCATACAAGAGGCTTTTATCAATGTGACCGAAGAAGGTACGGAGGCCGCTGCAGCTACCGGTAAGACCATTGGGAAATTCTTAACGTTTTATAAATTTTATATAACTGTTTTTATTGCTTTTTAGCTTGTTGCATTGATGGTCCCGTGTATTTTGATGAAACTTTTAATGCAAATAGACCTTTTTACTTTTGCATTAAAAATAGACACCTCTTGAAATTATTCGATGGCTGCTATCGGCGACCATGTTGAATGGCAACGTTATTACTCACTGATTGCTTGACTGATTTAATAATGAAAGTATTCGATATATAGCACCATATATTTAAGATTTTTAAAATAATTAATAAATATTTATGTTTTTTTTTTTATATTGTCAACCTTTTAGCAAGTAAGACCATATTCATATTTTGTACTTTTAAAATTGTTAATAAAACTCTAAAATTAGTTTTAGTAATTAAATTTCCTGACCTATGAGCTTATTTTGAAGTAACCCTATTGCCCAAAATTCATCAGTGAAAGCACTCTTTATAAATCCATCTCTATGCTATTTAAATCCTTTTCGGAAAATCGTTCCTGAAAATGCAAGAATTCAACTGGCATCTTTATAACCCCGGCAGATCCTTCAAAAACCCCAGAAGCAATGACTTAATTTCTTATTTGACTAGAAAAAGAACAAAAACTTCGTTACGCTTCGTATTTTTTTTCACTGTAATTTTTGAGACGGCTTTTCCGATACTATTGTTTTGAGATTTTTGTATTGTCTCCAGTTTAAGTTGCAAGCCCGAACTTCTTATAAAACTTAGCGATTACGAAATGAATCAAGCCTCAGAAATGATTTCAAACTAAGAAGATCAGCTGGGTAAAATTATTTGATGAACATAAGACGGTCCATAGCGCTATGAAGGTCTTTAAGATCCCATATACTTAATTAAAAACTTTTTTCTAGTCGTCCGACCTTCTATATAATGACAGGGCTTAAAAAAATTTCTGAGCTCATTGCGCATAAGAAGTACATTTTATGAAGAGAGAATTATGAGAATTATTAGATTTTTTATCGATAACGTTTTTGAGTGTGAAATTGTATTACGTTACCATCTCAATCCGAATCAGACAAACGGGAGAAAATCGCTCTAAGTGGTTCGTCAATAATAAGATTGTGGGTATTAATGATTCTCCCCCTCTAGATTGAATTCTGGATCGAGAATGCGTCTGTTAAATAAGACGAGATATCTCCTACCTTTAAATAAATAATCAGATCTTGGCTCATACCAAAACGCTGCTTCGAAATACAATGTGGAATCACTCGTATTACTGTGGATTGAGTAGGAAAATCGAGCAAGGCAATACAAGTCTTGCGGTGCCAAGAACAAGCGTGGAACGTTTGGCGCGTTATAGTTTGTACGGTCAAAAAAACTTAGGTGGTTATGAATGAAGAAACACTACATAAGTTTTATTGACGGGCTGACGAAGCTGACTAAAATATAACACCGATAGAAATATGTGTAAACTGGGGATGCTGGTGAAGAACGAGGCGAAGTTATGACGGAAAAGATATAGTATTTCAGGAAGTTTTAGACTTAAAGTGAATCCAATACTTAAGCTTAAGCTAGATGAAAACGAACTCCGATATTCGCTTCCATATATTACATTTCTTGAACTGACTTAGACTTGAAGTGATGCGGAGTTGTCGTTGAAAAGGTTATACTTCAACCTAAACTTAATGTTTTGAAGTTTTGGAAAGTCTCATTAGCATTTACGAATCAATAGATACTAAGTGAGCTTTTCGACTTCCCTCCCAAGCCAATCGGCGAAGTTTTTTTTACTTATAGTAATTTAATATGAGCTTTTCGCCTGCAAATAAGTGTGCAAAATTTCACTTTTTATATTTTTGCTGCCAAAATGGTTTCAGCCACTTGTAGCTCCATACAAACTCACATTCTGCCATTCTTATTTTATTGTATTTATTTTGATATTCACACTAGCTATTGAGCTAACAAAGCGCAGAGTTGCACTCAACTCACACCCATAAAAACTTTGACGGCAGTTATGAGGCGCAGCGGGTCAAGTCGTGAGAAAGGATGCTAAAAGGCGGCTCAACGGGCTTACAATAGTTCACACTTTGATGACCGAACAGCTAAAGATTTCAACCGGCCGCAATGGACAGGGTGTGTGCGGTGGGAAGCGTTTGGAATTTTTCACTTGCGCATCGCAGCGGCGAAGTCCTTTTAGTCATGCCTAAAAGCGATGCACTGCCAATCGGGTGGCACGAAAGGCATGCTAAGACCGGCTGGTTGGTTGGCTGATGGGTTCGCTGACTAACTGAACGGCCGCCTAGTTGGACGGTAGGTTTGCTTGCTGAGTCTCATACGTGCCTCTAATGGGCTGTGATGCTTAACGCTTAAGTGTTTTAAAGGCATTCATAATTTTACGAAATTTGCCAAAGACATTCTGTAACCGACAGTCGTTCGCCGCCGCCGTCGTCGTCGTCGTCGATGCCACCACATGTGGCATATTCAGGATACACATTACGATGATGATGACGATGACGACGATTTGGCACTGCCGTAATGATGCTTGCTGCGCAATGTTGTTGTTTTTGATGTTATTGCTGTTGTTGTTGTTGACGTTATGCGCAACTAAAGTATGCAAGCCATCAGGTAACCTGTGTTTATGAGCTCTCAATATTTGATGTGTGTGTGTGTGTGTGTAAGTGCCGACTCGTAAATATTCAACTACTTACTTAATTTTCAAGTCCATTTCACAGTAATTACTCAGCGGCGAATGAAATGTTCAAAATATTCAATTTAACTGTGGCTAATTTTCGCGCAACAAATCGATGGCACAAAAGAGCAAACAGCCCAAAGTACAGCCGCAAGAGCAGCCACGAAGAATGGATAAAAGACACAGCGCGAAATGGCGTAGAACAACAAGTGGCTAAGTTGGGAGAGTTAGCTGGCAGGTCGCTACTGCTGCAGACTATTTTTTCAAAGCTGGCGTAGCGATATGAAAGCAAGAGACTGCACTCACATGCTTACGTAAAAGAAATATAATATTATAAAGGGTTGTATATTATGGAAAGCTATCATCTTGGAAAGCTTTCTATTGCAAAAGAGAGTTGTGCCATCTTTTATCCATCGACGACTGTAATTCTGATGAGCTTGCTAGGACAGGTACTTCGGTCTCAATAGCTGCGGGATGGGAACGGGTAGGATTTTCGTTGGCTTCTTGTGGTTTACTACTGGACTGTTGGGTCTCAGACTACCTCAGCAAGCTTTAACGGATACCAGCTGCATCAGCTAGATCAAAGCAAAAACACAGCGGATCTCATACTTTTAGACAACCACGTGAAATAGAAAAAGCGAAAATAGAAATAAAACATCTAAGCAGATTTGTGATAGGTTCAGAGCATTTTGCCGATAGTTAATATCCAATTAAAGAAGTTTTTCCTTCCTTAAAGAATTGTACATAACAGTCTAAGTGTGATCCGCACGCCATGCTAAGGGATCAGACATCTAACCTAACCTAACCTAACCTATCCAACTACAGTAATTTGACATTTTCGACACATGCGTTTTCGATGAAACAACTGTTCTATCTAATTTCATTTCGTCGAACGAAGTTGACGTGTTCGTAGGTCTTACCGAGTTTAATTTCGACGAATATTATACATCTCGATAGGACATATGTACAAACATATTTTGTCGACTCTCGCTCAGGGAAACTCAAACTGCCAATAGTTATCAACTTCTAACAAAACGAAGATGACAAAACACTAATAAAATTTTCATTGTATTCGAAAAAAGTATTAAATTCTTAATCACACACCAAAATCTAAAATTATTATTTATAAAACATCCAAAGTATAGACATGACGATGCGAAGATTGTTATGGCATTATAGAATATACCGTAGTGTACCATATCTAAATCCATGAAATCGAAATCCGTTTAAAGTCTTCCAACCAAAAATTCCTGCGAACAATTGAAACTTTCACCGAGGATATCAAAACACTTGATAAAACGTAGTTTTCACGTAGTGTGTAGTAAATATGGGATTCAAACGGACTTCTCCACTTGGATGAAGTGAGACGAAACAGCGAAACTCCCAAATCAATACCTAATAAATCTCCAAAGCCAGTACCGAAGAGCAATTCTCAAATCGATGCATGATTATTGTACGAGATTCTGTGCTTATCTTAGGGATACATGATCATGTTTTTGTAAGAAGCACAGCTTTATTTTACTACCACAAGTGAATAGCGAACATGAAAAGAACACAGCACGTTCCCACAACATTCAGTTGTAAGTAAACGGTAGGGATACGTAGCATCCTTAAAGAATATTAAGTATAAAATCAAAGATTTGTAGCAGTTCGAAGAGATGAACGATATTATATGACAAAAATTTTAAACTTATTGATCGAAGGAATCACCCTGTTGATTAATGCCTCAATGATAGAATTTCCCAGCAGACTCACATCTAAAAAACGCCGTCGGTATCAAAATAAATATGAATAATGGCAATATTAGCCTAAGGATAGAAGTTGCAAGCCTCCTATTTGCCTTGCTGATCTTCTTAGTGTTTTTTTTTTGCCTGATCGCAACGCAATACAATTAGGCTTGTAAGTGCAAACAACAATATTTATGTTAATAAATATGTACATATGTACGTAAATATGTAAGTATGTATGTGTATATGTGTTTGCGTGATTACTATAATATTATATTGGCTGCAAAGTCAATGTTCATTTGGCGCAGATACTTTTTCTCATGCCCTCAATGTGCCACAACGCCACTGTTACCACTGTTACCACTGAAGCTATCAAGCTACAGTTGTTTCTACCACAAAAGCAAAAAACGCATAGCAGAAGAAGAGAACGAAGAAGAAGAAAGCGCACGGCAAAGGGCGGATCGCGAAAGGTGATGTCGCCAATCAAGAAGCTATGTACATAAAATCATTCATATATAATATAAACATGTATGTATGCATGTATAGAGCGAAATAAAGGCTAGCCGCTTGCTGTGGTAAGATATTCAAACAACAATAACATGATCATCAACAAACAGATGCTGCCGAGGCATCAATAATATTGCCCCATGGCTGGGATGTTCGACCAGCCTTTGGATTACCAGAGAGCGCTCAAGCACACTTTCGCACAAACACATATGTATCTGTATCTATGTGCTGTAAGCTTGCATGTTGCTTGCTTGTTTAGTAGGCTCAATTTAGATTGCTTCTTGCCTTTCGGTCTTCTGCCGTCTGACAAACGCCGCACAGACGCCGCCGCCATTCACCGTCTTAGCCATAATAAATGTCACAATTAATTGGATTTTAATTGTCTGTTAAGCAGCGAAATTAAGTGCGCACCCAGCAGCCAGTCGTTTGCATAACCAAATGCACAAAGAGATGCAGTTACAGTTGCACATACATACATACAAACAATGGAAGGAAGATATGGAT